ATGAAAAAGTGAAGGAGAAAAGAAAGAAATAGGAGGGGGGGGGAGAAAAGATGAAGTGGGAGGTAAATAGCCAGCACGACACCTCTTCAACACGAGTGTGTCGTGCTACAGAGCCACGGACACACTGTGGTGAGTGTGTTATGAGGCTGCTTACGCACGCGCATGGCTCGGCAGGTGCCTGGGTTCAAACCCCAGCAGCAGCAAATACTCCTGGATCTTGATAAGATAGAGCGGGGGCGGGGCAGCGGGGGCGCGCGTGCGCGTGCAGCGGCCTTGGCGAGAGCGGGGACCGTTCCCGGTCCGATACCAACGTAGCGGACCCACCAGGTGTGGTGCTCCGCTAGTGGTAGAGATGGAGATGGAGGAAGAGGGGGGAGCAGGATGACGCACAGCGCAGCTCCCACGCAGGACTCCAACACACGCACTCCAAAATGTGCAAGTGAAGAATGCTACGGAAAACAGACAATGGCTGGGGTATACCCCAGCGGACTGACAGGACTGGACTGGACTGGCTGGTACCGACAGAGGKACCGGCCTGGACTGGCCTACCCCGAATACAACACAGGCCTGTGAGAACAGGCCAAGGGGCTGGTCTCACAGGCCAACCCGAGGTCCGCTACATCGACCACGGCTCGGTCTTCAGCAGAGACCAACACGGCCTAGCTACGTGAGCAACCAATAACTGCTGAAACACAGACCTGAATTCAAATCTTGAGTATATATATATTCGGCCAGCTCGTGCTCTATTCATATTCGCTGCCTGCCTTGATTTTGGTGAGGGGGTCTGCGCTACATGGCTGCGAGGACCCTTCAGATAGCCTGCATGGGCCGTCTGAGCCGTGTTAGGGGGATTCCCCCAACCCCCCCCCACAAAAAAAAAGGACCTTTCACACACACATACACACAAATTCACACACACACAGACACAATTTCACGCACACACTTTTTTTTTTTTTTTTTTTTTTTTTTGTGGCCGTTTCGCCTGGGGCATTGGCCCACAACCCCCCCCCCAAGCACCGCCGCCGCTCCCCACACTGCCCACAGCCCCCTGAAGCACCGCCACCGCTCCCCACACTGCCCAAAGGCCCCCCCCACCCCGCACAACCCCCTGCGCAAACGCGTCAAACGCGTTCACGCTCGTTCAGTGAACGTGCGTTCACCGCGTTCATACCCTGAACGCGAAACACAGCAGACTGCAACTGGGGTATACCCCCAGGGGACTGACTGGATTGGACTAGACTGGCCTGGTAGCAACAGGTACCGGGCAGGACTGGACTGGACTGAAACAGTACACGGCCTGTGGGGTCACGCCACGGCCTGGTCCCACAGGCCGAACTGGCAAATAGTTGAATAGGCCCTGGCCTACAGATGGAGGCCTGCTGCATCAGGGTATAGGTTTTCGGGCAGTAGTTGATGCTAAGCCACAACCGGGGTTAAGGTGGATTACCACTTACAGCGTAATTGGTTATGGACCTTATGGTTAGGTGAACCTGCAGACTGTGGAGGGTTCAGCCTCCTGAGTCCTGATGTTTTGGTGAAACTGCGACGAAACAGTCTGTCTGACTCTTTCACAGACACTCCCTTGTTCTCTCTCTCTCTCTCTCTCTCTCTCTCTCTCTCTCTCTCTCTCTCTCTCTCTCTCTCTCTCTCTCTCTCTTT